CCCGCGCAAGGGTCCCAAGATTGCGGGGGTTTAAGGGAGTTTCGGAGCAGCCAATATTGAGAGATGCAAAATTTCTTTTGCATTATATCTGATAATCTTTCTGTTGCGACCAAAATGTAACAATTTTTCGCGAAGCGACAAGTTTTTGCCATCTTCTTAAAAAAAATCGACTTTCTCTGGCAAATTTTCAAGAGAACTCGTGTCCAATTTGAGAAATTTTCTCAAATTTTTGTTGCCGAAGGCGATCACTCTGATGAAAATCGTTCTAAATTAAGCTGTTTTGAAGAAAACATTGACTAAAGTAGGAAGTTTTTCTAAGATAACTGTGGTTACACAATTGTTATTTTTCGCGAAGCGAAAACTTTTTTCAGACTCATGAACAACACTTCTTATCCTTATGTTGTTCGAAAGGAAAAGTGTTACAATAACTTTTAGCAATTTTGCCGCCGAAGGCGGCTACGTTAGTGACGATTATTCGAAAATGAAGCTCTTCAAAAGGAAGACAGCAGTAAACTTGCCATAAAAGCGGAAAAATCACAGACATTTTTAGGACGAGTACGCTCACGTGATTACTTTTTCGCGAAGCGAAAAGTTTTAACATCTTTTCAGAATTTTCTAGCAGAAAATTCCAAAAACTTCATTAATTTTGCTGGCTAACAATGAATAATTGTCAATTATTAGGGGGGGGGGGGGTACACCTCCCTATATTCCCCCCACTTTTGCGGGGCCTGCTTTCCAGTAAGACTAACAAGTAATCTATACCCATTACATCCACATCTATACCCAGGGGCGGGGTATAGCTGTTAGTAGAAATCTAATCTTTGATCAGAATCACGCCCGACACCCATATTAAGTATCAAATTATTCATTCAATAGACATTTATTTTTCATAACAATAATATCCGAACTTGTTAAACTAATGTAAGATAGAAAAATCATTTCACTGTTAAACATATTCAAAATCAATAAGACTTTCTCTGATTGAGAAGAACAACGACATTTTTGGACAGAAAACGGGTTGTACTGGGTTAATACGAGATTGTGATGAGTACCCTTGAGCCGAATCTGAAATAACATATAAACTTTTCAAAAGATATTGCATATTTTGTCTAAACTTTTTTTCGAAAAACCCTATGTAATTCTTTCATTTGCTAAAACATTTCAACAATGAACAAAGAAAAACATAAAATTGTCGTCATCTGAGAAACAATCACTTAATATTTTATTCTATTCTTAGTGAACCTTCTTAAACTAGCGGTGTTGATTCATCATCACATAATAAACATACATTTTTATGCTGAAAAGTTTTTAGTGTACTGACTAAAAAATCAAAAACTACTGGTGAATTAGAGAGAATTGAAGATTTTACAAGTTGTCAAATACGTTACTGAACATTTGTTTATTCATCAACCACTGACACTCGAAATATGATTGCTCATTCATGTGTTAAAAATTTATTTAATACAACCAGATGAATAGTTCATGGATGAGCCATTCTTTAAGAAAAAATCATTGACCAGACTAGACTGGGTCTAAGGTCAATAACAGACAGGCCGACTTTCTCAAGCTCTGGTCCAGCCTATTGAGACATTTGGTTTAGATGAGCAAAAATATTGATCATGTCTTTTATTGTTATATGAGATGCACAAGTATACTTTTTAATCCTGCTTTTTAGTACAGTGTGCTGTATGATTACGATTTTTCGCATCCAGATTGGTACTTACTGTTTTATATCTGGATTCGAACAGGAGCTTATCGATATTTAGAAGACACTTTCACAGTCATAGTACAGTGTTCAAACTTTTACTGTCTATGAAAAAATATACCATTCAGTTTCTTCCATAAACAACAACAAAAACAATGAGATCATCTGAAATTTCACAAGAAGACACATGAATCAAATGGTTCAGAATTCACTTGATTTCTTTCTCCTTCTAAAATTCTATCAATTTCTCTGAATATCCTTTTGCTTGTTGCTAATGAGACTGGTATGGAGCATAGTGTTGGTGTCAAACGTTATAGCTATGATTACATACATGAATTTAAAAAAGAATTCTTTTGATAAAATAATACTGCTGTTCACTTTGGTAGCCTGTTTTCAGGTACAATAAATTGGTTGACGGTGATCGAACCGGTTTTCATTCCAATATTTCTGTATATAGAACAGTTTGAAAAAGTAAAGATATTTTGAAATGTAACAAAAATCACACAGTCATTTTTGATTAATAGAACCTTAAGCCCATATTTAATTAAAGTGTCAATAGAGAATTTTTGCCAACGAAACCCGTCCTATGAAAGAGATTTTCAAGAAAAAAATCTAGAAGAATAGATCGAAAGAAGTTTTTGTGTCTATGCTAAGATTAATTATAAGAGGAAATTTGATTCAACAAAAAACAAATTGTATATCACTAGTCAGAATGTTTGCCAAATATAACCAAATGATAGATAAATTTTGACTATATATCTAACAATATGTTTTTTATGACAGCTTTTTCCAAAACTAGTTCAACGATATCGATAATAAGAGAAAAAAACTATTTTTACATCATTTACACTGATGTTCATTTGGATGAATGTATGGAATTTCGACATTAATTAAAATTTCAATTTGTGTCGATTACTTTTTCATTTTCATGTTCAATGACTTCTCTAACAAAACAAGTATAATGTTCCTTGAATGTAAATAAATTTGTGACAAGTGTTTATTAAATAATAAAAATACTCGATTTAATAAGAATACAACTATACGAACATAAAAAATCTTATTAATTTAATTATTCTAATTAAAACAGATTATTATGATAAGATAGTTTAGTTGGGAAGATATCGATTCACTTATTATTGAAAAAATAAATAAATAAGCAAAAACTTTTTCGAAATTAAAACAAAAATTCATGTAGATAAAATCAACATAGAAAATACTTCATCTGTGCCAAATGTTCGGGACAAAATACACGATTACGACATATCATACAATAAGACAAAAATGGAACATATGAATAAAATTCGAAGATGAGAGATAACAGTTTGATGTCAAACATCAATGAATATCACCATTTGTAAAATTATTGTTAATATCAAGTCGAAGAGATTTTAAGTGACATTGACCTAAGAATAATTGACAAAGAAGTTGTTTGATCATGTTCGTTTGTTTCTCTATTATTTATCAAAGAAAAACAATATTTAATAATCAAAATACGTTTTTTGTTATTGAAAACTACTTTTTTTGATTGATGAGACTATCGGCTATTAGGAATCATGAAAAAAGACAATAATATATATTAAAATCTATTTCTGTTTAATTAATGAATCAATGAAGTGACATTTAAATAAATAAATGACTAAAACATATTTAAGATAGTCATTGTACGGGATTGATAATCACACCAGGTTTATGTATAAGGGTTATAAATCGGTTTTCAACTGAGATTTATCTCATCGAGTAGAGCCTTTCGAGACATAATTATGTCTAGAGTAATGCGTACTCATATTTCTTTGTTTCTCACCTATAACCATTTGACTGAATTATCGTTTTATATTCAGATATTTCGACAAATGTTTCAGTCCGAATAGGTTACTAATTTCTTACGAGGGAACTACCCGAAGTGTTAATTGTAGATTCGATCGAGATTCTTATAGTATAAAGTGTTCTTTCCCATGGTACCTTTAACTAGACAAAACCAATCAATTCTATTCGTGGAAGATCAATTCGAGACATTGAAAATTGAAGTGTTATATGCATTAGCATGTGATAGATGAAGCTTCATCATTGATCCTCCTACTTTTGGTTGTACATGGTTACTTGATAGACTAAAAACTGCTCAACGATGTCTAAATTTGCATGTTACAATGTTGCTATCATCAAACATATGCATCATCTACATATCAGGCTATGACAGGCATCATTAATTCTTAGAGAGCATTATTTCACATATCTGTAGTTTGAATGTTATCGGCTGTTACGATCTGAGTATGCAAATATCGATCTGCTTGTTCTTTCACACGCTTTACTCCGTGAAATCCAGCACAGAATAAATGACATTGGTAAACAATAAGAAAGTGTTCAAACCATAATGTTTAGTGAGACTTATCGACATTTTTCATAGCATGGTACGTAAATCATGCATATGTTTAATGATAGCAACATTATAACATGCAGAACCAGCTTGTCAAAGTCTATCGACTAGAATAACTCTCAATCGAATTTGCGATTAACACTTCGAATAGTTCCGTCATAAGTCGATGATGCAAAGTACATTTCTAAATCAATCTAGTCATTTATATGAGACTATAGATCTTTCCAAATAGTTGAAATGCCAACTTTAGGGAAAAAACATATTTCTATATTGTAAAAATTGTCACTTTAGAATTGTCTGTGTATGGAATGAACTGAGAATGGACGAAATTTCGTATCGCAGTTTCAAAAAATAATTGTTTGTATAGAAATATGAAACTTTATAACAACATTTGAACGAAAACCGTACGACTCATCGCTCTTTGAGTCGTCACCACAACAAATTACCGGTTTCTTGAGTCATCTATATCAATGCTACAGAAAGATCCATTAGTCGTAAAGTATAATATCAAATTATTAGAAAAAAAATTAATAAGAAAAGAGTAAACCATTCAAACCATCAGTTTTGAGGAAGAATTGATAATACGGCTATTTTTTTTTGACTTACTTGATTCAAAAAAAGACTGATTTCATTCGATTGAAGATATTTTACAGAAGAATAATGTTTAAGAGTCATTCATAGAGATAATTATACATTTAATATGGTTTGGTTATTTTATGAACCGAAAACCATCTAAATGAGCTGTTCTCAAAAGTCTTCACACATATGTTATACATGGATAAAAATGAAAATTATAGATCAGAGAAAAAGTATGTTTGTATTATTGAACAATAGTTTCGAATAATAGTAATCAAAGAAAAAAAATTTTACAACAGTTCTTTTTATAAATGAACATACAGTATAGTTCACAGTGTATGAAGCAATTTATTTACATTCATCTAGTTTCTTTTTTACTTCATTTACCATAGTTGGATCAGGATTTTTAACATATTTAGTTAAATTTTCATCTGCTTTTAAAAATTTCTTTTTTGCTTCGTCACGTTTACCACTTTTGAGAAGTGCATCTCCCCAATCAATATTAGCTTGTGCCACATCAACAGCCAGTTGAGGTAATAAATATAGATCATCATTATTACAAACAACACGTACTTTTGAATATTTACATGCCCATTCTTGATGATACACAACATCTGCACAATAAATGTAAATAGCATAAAGTTGTGGTAAATCATGAATTTTTGGAACAACATTTTTTCCCAGTCCACCAGACGTCATAAAAAATGTTCGTTTATTAGCACATTGATCACGAATATAATTCACACATCGATCTTCTTGACCTTCACACATTTCCCATTTAAATGTACCACTAATTTGATCATAAATATCACGTGTTTCAATGAGTAAACCATCAAGTGTAACAAATTTTAAACCTTGAAATGTAGTTAAATCAATTGGTTGTGCTGGTAATGGTAAAAATGTATTTGCAGCATTTTTTACTGTTTGATTAGCAGAAGATGTGCTATTTGCATTAAAACCGGTAGTCATTGAATATGTTGTTGTTGCTTGAGGTTGAGGATGATAACCAGCAGCTGTTGCATTTGTAAATTGTGCCAAAAGTGAATTGTGTGATGTTCGATCTTGATTTGGGTCTGATTTTGAATTTTGAGAAGATTTATTTGACATTGTTGATTAATGTAATAAATAATTTCAATTTTTCCTTAATAAAAATAAACTAACCAGTATTTTTTACTTTGTTGTTGTCTTTTTTTTTCGTGATAAAAATAATGTTTTTATTTTGCGTTACTTTTGTAGCAGGTAAGACATAGACAGGAAAAAACCAAGCAGTCGGTAGAACAGAACGTAAAAAGAATACTGTTTTTTTCTTTTTCTCTTCTGTTCTAATCTTGATAAGAAAAAAAAAAAAAGTAAATCAGATGTTTGTGTTTTTTTTTTTACTTCCGATCATAGCGAAAAATGAAGACTTCTTTGAAGGTCATTGAATATATCCATCGGAATGGAAAAAAAATCATGCTTATTTTATTCTTCCTATTGCAATTTCAAGAACAAAAAAAACGCAATTTTCTTTGTGTCGATGATTCATGACTCGAAGCAATTTGAGTGTAGGTTTTCTTTTATTGTTCTTGTTTCTTTTCTAGACGGTTCTGATTTATTATCGTGTCATGTATATAAATCGAACAAAAAAATAATAAAATTTTCAACGAGTAATAACAAAATGATTTTATGTCTTGAATTAGACATGCAACTGAATATTTCCTATAAGCTGTTTTGAAGAGTAAAAACGTGATATATTTCTTACAGATTTGTGTTCAACAGCGCCATCTATTGAGTTAGTATCAGTTTTTTGAAAAAAAACTCGATTGATTATCAATAATTAAATTCATATAGTTCTTTAGATTGCAATATTAAAATTCTTCTGTTTTTCAACTGTCACTATATTAAATAAACATCAATTCACCAATAAGAATACTTGCTTGTTTAGTTCATTCTCTCAAAAACAAAACACATTGTATTATATGTCAATTATTGTTTATCATAAAAAAAAGCATTAGATAAAATCATTGTTCTTAAAAATTCCAATATGCCTCGTTCTTATTCTCGTTCTCATTCACGTTCGCCGATTACATCATCTTATCGTCGTCGTTCACGTTCACCAAGACGTAATAATAATGATCAAGAAGAAGATGATAATAATTGTCGTTTACATGTTGCTGATTTATCATTAAATTGTACGAAACGTCAAATTGAAAAAGCATTTGATAAATGGCCAATAGTTGAAGTTTGGCATGCACAAGCATCATGTTTTGCTTTTGTTGTTTTACGTAATCGTGAAGATGTTCAACAAGCTATCAATGAACTTGATGGCCGGTAACAAAAAAAAAAAGATTTTCATCTAATTTTTCATATTTTATAAAAAAAAAATTTTTTTAACTTAAGATATATTGGGGATGCACGCGTTCGAGTCACTTTAGCTCGACCACGCATACGTACTAGTGGCGGTGGTGGTCGAAGATATTTTGATCCGAATAAGTAAGGATATTTCTATAAATATAATTAAAAAAAAAAAATTTTTTTTTGTCATTGAAGGCGATGCTATCAATGTGGTGGTCGAGGACATTTCAGTCGTGATTGTGGTAATGAACAACAAAGCAAAAAAAAATCTGGCAATGGATATCGGTGAGTTTTTTCATTAATGGAGTGGCCAAAACAATTGGAGAGTATGTAATATAAATATATATCACACTGGGATCATCAATATGGTCTTGGATGGGATACATATTAAAAATGCGTGGGTTTGGTTTTGAATTTGACAATAAATTAAGGTAAATTCTTGAGAGACTTCGTTTTTTTTTTCCATGAGTATAAAATAATTGTTTATATATATATATATATATTGAGTGAGTTTTATATATAAGAGAAAAAAAAAGAATTTTTGTTTCGAAAATTTTTTTCAATTTTATTTAGATCTCGTTCACGTGAACGTCGTTATGAACGATCGTATTCTCGATCTCGGTATGTCTAAAAAAAAATATTAATGATAAAACTATTTTTATATTTAGTTCACGTTCACCTCGTCCACGTGTTATTCGTGAATATCGTCGTCATAGGTAAATATACATTTATCATAAATCAAAATATTATTTTTATACTATATAGTCCTCGTCGATCACCACCAAAATCGAATTATAAATCACGTGACAATGGATCTGGTTATTATTCGAGGTAAAGATTTTCTTTGTGGAGTACGATTCAATATCTAGAAACAAATTTTGTAAAAAAAAATTTCAAAACTATCTGTACAAAATGAAATAGTAAATTAAGCGAAATCTCTTTCCCGAAATAGAAGACTCACTTTAATTAGTATATATACATCAAATGAAAAACTGAAGCCAACATTATTATTAGATTTTTAAAGCCTTAAAAAATTACTCAATTAACTGCTTCTAACTTTAATATTTCTGATTTATCTACATCATACATTCATATATTATTTTTATTTAATTTTAGTCCACCTCGAACATAATTTTCCAAAAACCAAAAAAAGAAATTTGCATGTGTTATTCATTGAAGAAAAAATTAAGACATTCTATTGATCTGTTTTCTTATATCGATCGCTTAGCGTTCTCTATGTGTTGTGTTTTTTTTTTGTTTACGTATTTCAATTCGACTTTGTGCTTTGTTCTATGTTTGCCACTGTTCGATAATATGAACAAATTTAATCATAATGAATTGTCTATCATTTTATTTTAGTATTTGATTAGTTGAATTTATCTATTTTCTTTTTTGTAATTTGGTATTATTCTTCAAAAATATGCCTCGATCACGATCTCGCTCACGAAGTTCAACACCATCAACACGACGATCTCGTTCACCAGTATCTGATCATGATAATGGAAATGATCGACCAAATGAATATCGTATTCATATTGCTGAATTACCACAAGGTGTACAAGAAAGTGAAATACGAAAAGTATTTCAACGTTATGGTACATTAGTTGATGTTTGGGTTGCAAGTGCATCTTGTTTTGCATTTGTTGTTTATAAACAAAAAGAAGAGGCACAAAAAGCGATTGATCATATGGATGGAAGGTATGATATAAAGAATATAAAATTTATACGTACAAAGAAAAATCTAGACAATTATTATTGGATTAAGATCATTTGGAAGTAATCGTGTAAAAGTGACATGGGCTAGACCACGAACACGTAATCGTTCTCATCGTTATGATCCAAATATGAGATGTTATAAATGTGGACAACGAGGTCATTTTAGGTAAGATTTTAGAAATAAAAACAAGAAAATATTTTTTGTTTTTTTATTATTATTATTATTTTCTAGTCGTGATTGTGAACGTATAATGATGGAAGGACGTTCATCGCGTCGTCGTGATGATAACTATGGTCGTTATTCATCTTCAAACAATAATCGCCATTCAAGGTATGGATGGATACTAATATTGAATGACAGCATACGCATATGATTTGGTTTCTAACATGCATATGTATAACTGGTGTTGATTAATATATCTTTCTGGATCCGTAACATACGTACAAATTTTGGAGTTAGACATAATAGAATAGAAAGAAAAAAAGATATCTATGCGTAATGTAGAAATAAAAAATAATTTTCTTTGGGTTTTGGTTGTTTCGGACGGTATTAGATATTTGGAAAGGAGATATAAAAACTGATAATGGATTTGGATTTGGTTCATATGGAACTTTAGGTCTCGTTCACCATATTCACCGGCACAATTACCCACACCAGCCTATTTTCGTCATGGAATGCCAATGTATCCATCATTCTCACGTCGATATGATGATTATATGGGTAATTATTATCCACCAGCAGAACGATCAAATGGACATGAATATCGTTATCGTGAACGTGGTACTCGTTTAACACCACCATCAGCAAGTGCCAGATACAGTCGACGGTACGAAAATAAATTAAAAAAAAAACAAAGACAAAATAAAATTTATTTTTATTATTTTATAGATAATTAATATAACAACAGTTTATTTATTCTTTTGTCCTTTTTTTATTCAATATAACAATTAGTAAGTTAAGATTGTTTTAATTAATTAAATGATTATTATGATAGATTTAGATATGATCAAGAACAAAAATACATAAATGTGATATTTGTTGTCTTTTAATAATCTAGAAAACTTTTTTTTTTCTTCTTTCTCTTCAGTATATTCATATTATTATTTGTTTTTTTTTTTTCATTATATTGTATTGCTTCTTCTTTTTTTTCTGCTGTGTTTATTATCTATATCAAACGAGAGCTTCTCTTTTCATATATTTCAACTGGCAAATTGTTGATGTCTTTCATGCTTTGTGATCACATTTTGATATCATTCTTTCCATACATTAATCACAAATCATATATTATTCATTGAATTGATGTCTATCTCAGTTTCTGTTTGTGATAGTGTGCTGTATTGTGACTATGCTTTTTTTTGTGTTTATTTGAAAAATTGACGTATTTCGTATTTATCTATGATTCTAAAAAAAAATTATCTGAAAAAGAAACATCAACTATAATTTTGTGATAGCCCCTTTCTTCTAGTTATTTAGATTAAGTATATATATATATATGTAATGTCGGCTAGTACAGAAGCAAGTGCAATTATAGATTATTTTAAAAGAAAATCAATATTCATTACTGGTGCAACAGGGTAAATGATATAAAATAAAAAGAGATCTAGTATCATCTTGAGTTTTTTAAAATTTTTTCAATCATTGATATAGATTTATTGGAAAACAACTTGTGGAAAAACTTATTCGATCATGTCCAGGTAAATTGTAAACTCCAATATACTCTATTTATTCTATTATATTTATGATGTAGATGTCGAACATATTTATCTTCTTGTACGACCAAAACGTGGTCATGCTGTTCATGATCGATTAAAAGAATTATTATCAAGTCCTGTAAGACTTCGAATTCAAAAAAAGAAAAGAAACGAAAATTTTTATTTTTATTTTTTCTCTATTTAGTTATTCAATACAGTTCGAACAATCAATCCAAATTTTGAAGAAAAAATTAGTGCTTTACAAGGTGATATACTCGATCAAAATTTTGGTCTTAGTCCGACGGATGAAAATCTCTTAATTGAACAATGTCATGTTGTATTTCATTCGGCAGCAACTGTTCGGTTTCAAGAACCGCTTAGGTATAAATTCAATAAAAAAAAAAAACACATTATTCTTAAAATATTTTTTAAATATTTCAGACTTGCAATACAAATGAATGTTGCATCTGTTAAAAAATTACTTCTTTTATGTCATAAAATGAAAAAATTACAAGTAAAACAAAAGACTAATAAGAATGTTTCTTCTTTATTATATTAGTTTTCATAGTCTATTGTTCATGTATCAACAGCTTATGCCAATTGTAATCGTAATGATGTTGCTGAAATGATTTATCCGCCACCAATTCAACCATCAAAATTATTAGAAGCTAGTGAATGGATGGATGATCAAGTATTTGATGTATTAACAAACAAAATTATTCATGATAGACCTAATACATATACATTTACAAAAGCACTTGCAGAATATATTATTTCACAAGAAGCTAAAGATCTACCGTTATCTATTATACGACCATCAATTGTTGGCTCATCATGGCGTGAACCAATACCAGTAATTTAAAGAAAAAAAAAAATTTAGTCTTCATGTATGTTTTATTATTATTTAGGGTTGGGTTGATAATTATAATGGTCCAAGTGGATTAGTTGTAGCGGTATGAGAAAGAAATTATGAAAGAGGTTGGTTTTTTGATTGATAAATTTTAGACTGGTAAAGGTATGCTTCGAACTATGTTAGGTAGTAACACTGCCATAGCCGATATTGTTCCAGTTGATATTTGTGTAAACATGATGATTGCAATTGCTTGGCATACAGCTATAAAACAGTAAGTAGGCTAAATCATTCATTTTGGACGCGATTTCTTAAAATTGCTGAAAATTTCACCATAGATGTGGTTCGTGTCGTAGAGTCTATTATGATGTTTTTGAATTTTTTCTGATATGGTTAAACAGACATTAGCTAATTACTTAATAATTAATCGTCAACTGAAAGATGGGTATATTCAGTTTAGTCTGACGATCAGGTTTCAAATCACTTTTTGACTGAGATGATTTGTATTCTATGTGTAATAGAAGAATCTATCATAGTTTGGTTTTTCAACAAAAAGGTATAGTCATATGAAAAATTGACTTTCAATTTCAAACTTTGCCCGCACAAAGTTATCAATAGGATTAGTTTATTCGACAAGTTATTATTTTTCTACTATCTTCTATCGTGAGATATTCAATATTCGAAATTTTTTGATATGTAAAATATTTTACCTTTTAATAAATACTATATAGATAAATGATTGTTAATTTTTCTAGTCCAAAAACTATTCCAGTTTATCATTGTTGCACCGGTCATTTGGGCACATTAACATGGGGTAAAGTAGCCGAATATGGTTTATATCATCTTTCTAAAAACAGTTTGGAAAATGCAATCTCATATCCATATTTACAATTCACTGAAAATCGGTAATATCATTTAAATTACAAAATAGAATTTCATATATAATTTTTCTATTGAATTAGATTTCGATATCATTATCTTCGAGTTTTACAAGAAGTGATTCCAGCATTTGCTCTTGATTGTTATATGCGTTTAGTTGGTCGTAAACCAATGTAAATAAAATCTCGATCATTCATTATATTTTTTTCAAAAAAAAAATTTTTTTTTTTTTTTTTTAGTTTTATCAAATTATCTGAAAGAATTTATAAGAGTGTTCGAACACTTGATTTTTTTACTTCACATTCATGGTTATTTCCAAATGATAACAGTGTTCTTTTACAAAATGAAATGAACGATATTGATCAAAAAGTAAGTTGATATGATCATCGAGCAAAAAGAAAATAATTAATTATTTATTTAGATATTTGGTTTCGATCTCAAAGATCTGGATTGGTTTCAATATTGGCGTAATTATTGTGTGGGTGCAAAACAATATTTACTTCGTGAAGATCTTTCTCGTACATCAAAATGTTATAAACGATATATAAGGTAAATAAATATATGTGTTTTTTTAAATACAAAAAAAAAACAAATTTATTTGATTAATTTTAGATTAAAACGTTTACAAAATCTCCTATATTTTGCGGCAATAGCATTGGTTATTAAATTAATCTTTTTTAAGTCATTTAAATTTCATCGAATATTGATCATGTTTTTTCGATTAATTTTCGTTGGACTTTCAGCAATAACAAAAAAGATTGGCCTTCAAAGAGAATGATATAGGACAATCGAAAAAAGAGTAATAGATTTTCTTTTTCTGTCGTGCAATTGTTTAAAAAAAACACATTTGAGATCAAAGGAATAGGAATAAATATTCATCTAACAATTTTTAGTTTCTAATTTTTATTTCAATCTTCAATAATAAAACAATTGTACAAGAGATTAATCATATATAGTTATTGAAAAATAAAGTCGGAGGAAGAAGCTTATAAAAAATTATTTTTAGAAAATAACAACAATCGTTTAAAGTTGGTCTGGTCAGATACATTCAGAATTTGCTTACTCAATGACAGAGGTGTTCTTTTTTCTGATGAATATTCATCTCTTTCGTTGTTGTATATTCTTGAAAATCAATTGTTCATATTTTCATAAAATTATCAGTACGGTATCAAAAAGAATACACAGGTAGGTCAATGCAACGATCACAAGTGAGAAGATGTTGCTAAACAGTTTTGCAAAATTTGTTTGCATTTACTAGTTACTCAAGTTTTTGTGACTCGCCTTCTATATTTAAATGCATATTAATTATCTTACAAAAATTTTACATGAAAAAGTTCTTTGAAGGATCACCTTAAAAGTTGGAAAACAATTTAGTATTTTGTCTGCGATTTTATCGTGTTTAAAGAAAAAAACACATCGATATAGAGGGCCATCTATCGATAAATAATTTCAATGTAGAAAGTTTTGTCATAGCAACGTCATTACAGTTCCAGAAAAAGTTCGTTTATTCAATTGACTAAAACAATTTATACGAATAAGAAATGCGCCTTAAACGTTTTCTTCTACGATATTATCCTCCAGGTAGAACAGGTTTTTTTTTTCTTTGAAATATTAATCTATGAATTAATTATAGGAATTATTCTTGAATATGAACAGAGCAATGTATTAAAAACGAAATCAATTGATTTACTTGATCTTAAACCTGAGTAAGAAAAAAAACAGAATATTTTTAATTACACTGAAAAAAATTCCTTGTTTTTTTGTTTTTAAGCACTGATATCAATAGTGTTGTTGAGGAAATTGTAAAAAAAGAACCTTTAATTACAGCAACAAAAGTTGATAAAGTTAAAGAATTAATTGAAAGTAAATATATGTAATTTTTTTTTGTTATTGAACTTTTTGATTCTTTTTGTCTTAAGGATTGCAAGAAAAAATTTCTCATCAAGAAGATAGACGTTTTTATTTATTTAAAGTACTTCGTGCTCATATACTTCCATTAACATATGTAGCATTCAATAAATCTGGTTCAGTGTATGATATTTATTTTATATAATTTTCATAAAATGATTTCTTCTTTTTTCTATTATCATTTAGATTTATTACCGGTTCATATGATCGCACATGTAAAGTATGGGATACAGCATCAGGTGAAGAATTACATACACTTGAAGGACACAAAAATGTTGTTTATGCTATAGCATTTAATAATCCATACGGGTTTGTTTCTTTTTTGTTTTTTTTTAATGATAACTTATTAATATTTTAAGGATTATAGTAAAAGAGTTTTCCATATGAATATAACAGAAAAAAGAGAGAGAGAAAGAAGTTATTGTATTTCTGTAGATTGGGTTTTTTCCCAAAATAGATTACCTTTCTGACGGATTGATGTTAGAATGTAGATTTTTGCTCTTGAGAAACCAATGAACTCAGAAGTATGAAAATGTATTGAGAACAGAGTGTATACTTTTCGATTACATCTCATATATGTAGGTGTTAGTTCTGAAGAGTTTCTAATTTAAATACGATGCACATATGACGACGTACACGTATTTGTAGTTGTTTTAGAAATCGATAAATTGCATTTTTACTATTTTAAAACAAATCTAAATGTTAATTTCATATTATTATTTTAGAGATAAAATAGCAACTGGTTCATTTGATAAAACCGCTTGTATTTGGAGTACAGAACGTGGCACATGTTATCATACACTTCGTGGTCATACTGGTGAAATAGTAAATAAAAATTATTTGCTTTGTTCCTTACAAAATATTATTTATTGTTGTTTGCAAAATTAGGTATGCCTTGCATTTAATCCTCAAAGCACAGTTTTAGTAACTGGTAGTATGGATCATACAGCTAAATTATGGGATATTGTTTCTGGCACAGAAATAGCTAGTTTACATGTATGTTATTTATATAGAAATCTTTTAATTTTTATTTGAATACTATTCAATTTAGGGTCACACAGGTGAAATAATATCAGTTAGTTTTAATACAAGAGGTGATCAAGTAATAACAGCTTCATTTGATCGTACTGTTGCTATATGGGATGTTCGCACTGGAAAGTAAGTAAACTACGAATGTATAAATATTTATTTTGTCCTCTTTTTTTTATACTTCTAGTAAAATTCATACATTAATTAGTCATACAGCTGAAGTAAGCAGTGCACAATTTAATTGGGATTGTAGTCGAATAGTGACTGCTAGTATGGATAAAACATGTAAATTATGGGATGCATTATCTGGTAAAAAAAACAAACTATCATAAATTCATTCAATTTATTTGAGTTTTATTGTTGATTTATAGGTGAATGTATTGCAACATTAAGAGGACATGAAGATGAAGTACTTGATGTTGTATTTGATTCTACTGGTCAATATATAGCAACAGCATCAGCTGATAAGACTGGACGTGTATATGATGCATTCAGTCAATTATGTATAGCTACATTAACAGGACATCAAGCTGAAATATCTAAAGTAAAGTGTTTTTTCTTTATAAAAGATAAAAGAAAAAGTCTTTGAAAAATTGTTTTTTGTTTTGGATTTTTCTTAGATTGTTTTTAATTCACAAGGCAATCGTTTAATTACAGCGAGTATGTTTGAATGATTAGAAAAAAAGGAATTAAAAAAAAAAAATTTTTATTATGTCTTAAGGTGCGGATAAAACAGCTCGAATTTGGGATCCACTAACAGGTGAATGTAAACAAATACTTGAAGGACATACAGATGAAATATTTAGTTGTGCTTTTAATTATGAAGGAAATACAATTATTACAGGTTGGATTAAGAAAATAAATACAAAACAAAACAAAATCTTATATTTTATTTATTTATTTTTAATAGGCAGTAAAGATAATACATGTCGAATCTGGCGATGAACGAATATTTTTAAATGATCTTCAGTTTTTCTTGTTTAGTGTGATTCATTTATTCTATTTCTTATTTTTTGTTTTTGTTTCTGCAATATCTCTGTGTGTTTTATGGAACAAGAATTTAATATTGTATTATCATTATTCACGAACGATTTTGTCTCCACATTTGGTTTATAGATTTAATTTAAACAAAGCAATGTCTCGAGTTTGTCGAAATCCACCAGCTTCAACTACTCGACGACCACCAGCTAGAGGATCAATACAACAATCAACTCCTTCAAGACCAACAATTAACCAATCCATAACTCGTGGTGCTCGAACATCAATACGTGGTACAGCTTTGCATACCCAACGACCACAACTAGATAGAGACGATATTGATCCACATAATGAAAATAATGAAACAAAACAAGCACAACGTACCGTTCATGTTGGGTTTGTTGATTGGATATTATACTTTTCTTTTTATTCAAGCGACACTAAAAAAACGAATAGACTTACGAACGAACCTTCTCAGATGTTTTGTACATTAAAAATTTGATAGCTTAGTCAAATCTCAATAGAAACTCAAAATGATTTTGGTAGTTTTTTATCCAAATTTTCTCTTCCGGAGAAACAATACAAAAGTCCAAGAGGACCAATCCGATCTCTTAGTCCTCACGCTGGATAAAAAAAAACTATATTTTAGAATTTTCATTAGAACTCTGAGTAGTATCTATAGGCAAAAAAATCATTGAAATCGATAGGAAACATCTGGTGAGATTTGTTCATTGGTGTATGTTGAGCCTTGTTGTTGTTTTTTTTCCTTTAAGATCTGATTTATTTTTCGATGAACTTTGAAATAAGATGTTTTCTTTTTAGTGATGGTTATCATATGTTTACACCATCGACAACAAAACGTGAACAAATGAGAAGACAAGCTGAAAATGAACAACGTCAATATGAAGCACATGTTGAACGAACACGTCTTCATGGTATTCATGAAGTACATCGTCTAGGTAAGATAGATTTCTTTTGAAATAATAAAAAAAGAATTTTTCTTTTGTTAAAAGGTGGTGATAGACTCAGTGAAGATGAAGTTCGTCGACAACAAGCAGAAAAATATCGACGAGAGAAATTTGTAAGATTAGTAAGTAAATTTTGCTTTTTTTTTTTCGGTTTATAAATAATTATATTTATTCTAGGAAAAAACTCATCAGGATCAATTTCAAAAAAAACAAGAAGAAGAAAAAGATATCGAGGCTAAAAAGCAAACAGCACGTCAACAGGTAAGAGTTCGTTAATGTCAAATAAATATTGATATCTCGTGATAAGAACTATGAGATACAATAAATAAATAATGCATTCATTTGAATTGTAAAAGTTTGGCAAACTACTCGTTCTTGACATCGTAAATTTATATTCTTTATATCACATACAGTAAAGAAATCGACGAGTCGAAAACAGCTCGAAAAAAACAATGAAATTAATATGCCAACAAAAAAACTGATGTATCTACAATGTGATATTTTTTTAGGCTAATAACTATATTTTGTTGGTTTTGGTGAAACTATCTTGAACCAAAATATCATGTATTTGTTTTTTTTAGACGCAAAATCCTTAAGAAATCATATAATACTCATAGACAGTGTAGTTTCTAAGACAAACTTATGTAATTTTTGTTCTTTAATTTTCTAGAATCAATAAATTTTACCATCACTTTCTCCACAGTTAAAAATAATCTACTTCTTAAGTTTAGATTATTTCTTGACTATATGATATTCAGGTGTGTTCCATTTTGAGTCACAGAACAGGCGAGCAGGAATGTGAAGTTTTCTTAAATATTGCATAGTGTCAAGCATTATTTGTTTTACATATAAAATTTTTCGGAACAACATGAAGTCATTGTCAAATGGCAAGATTATACCCTAGAATAGCTTGTTTTCCTACATGTAGGGATCGATGTATTCATGACATTTTAACAATACTTAACGATTCTATCAAAAATTTTTATTCATCAACAATCAGCACAGCACTCTTGATGAATTGATATAAATAACTTCTTTATAAATGGAAAAACAGTTTTTTACCTCAAGTTTCCTGGAGGGGAGCACGGATATATGGTTGCAGGCAGGAGGTCTGTTATTTTTATTATTTCTTTTTCAAATTTTTCTTCAAAGTATCCAGGTCTTATTTTTTGCATAAAACTCTACAAGAATCTATAAATATCTTATGATATTTAAAAAAATAAAATTTTCCACATCTCTATACTCTCCTCCAGGGACTTTGCAGGCTACAAATTGCTTTTTCGTCTATAAACAAATTGTCTAGATCAATTCCATTCATAAGGGACACTGTGTTCATTATTGATACATAGAAAATTTTAATAGAAACCTTGAGTATTAAAATATCGTTAATATACCGATCTCCTCCTATAGGAAAATAGATTATTTTGGGAAATAATCTTGCAAATTGACAATAACTCACTATACAAAACTACATATATGGTAGTCTATATCAAGATGGTTCACCAAATCCGACAAAATCTTTTTCTGTTTTCTTCATAGAAGATTCTAAGCATTTTCTATATTATATAATTAACTTCTATTTTTCAGTCTATGGAAAATGAAAAACGAAATCGAGATACTCAACTTCATTCAGTGAGACCGTAATAAAATTAATTTATGTATTATTATCACTAGATTATATATATATATATATATATATAGAACAGTCAATCACAATAATCAAGGAGCTAGTGGATGGACAGATGAAGCTCGTGAAGGTGATCGACGAGAGTAAAAATCTAATAAATATATTTTATGCATTTATATATTTATATTTCACTTTCTATAGAACAATGGATCGATTTTTAAATCGACTAAGTCATCAATATAATGATATGAATATATCTTCCGATGAAAATGAAACAGAAACTCGTATGTCATCTTATTTATTTTCTCTTTTTCTTGAATGTTTCAGTCATTTTTACAGATAATGATCAATCAAAGTCAGAAAAACTCTCAATACTTCGTGATATGCTTCCTCATATTGATGATCAAACTCTTGAATATCATTTGGAAATTTTCAATGGTAATATTGATGCAATTGTTTCTGAACTTGCCAACTGAATATGATTTAGTGCAACAGATTTGTAATTTTTTTTTTATTTTTATAATTAATTATCTGTCAAAAAGCGTATTATATTTAACACATTCGCCGCGATGTTGCTCACCGGTGGGCCATACTATATTTTAGCGAGAAACTGTATAAAGAAAGCACTTTCTTTTGCTTTTTTCGTAGGCAGGAGGTTAAACATAAGGTGTCATCTATCTTGTCTTCAGTACTTGTTTTTGAATCCTTTATTCCATAGCATGATGCTTCTTGTTAAAACAATCAAGACAAAAAAAACAGCAACTGTGGTGGACACCAGAAAAACCAATAAACTTAATGAACGCATCATGAAGCCACAAGTTGCTCTCGATTACAACGAAGGGAGACAGGGTAGTGATTTATCAGATCAACTATCAGCATACTATAAATGTCTCAGACAGTCAATAAAATGGTATAAAAAGGTGGCATTTGAATTAATATTTGGAATCGCAGTAGTTAATAGTTATCTGATTTACAAGAAAAATTATGCCAAGCGACATGACCATTCTGCAGTTGCGTGAAAGTCTTATACAATCTTTGCTCCTTGGTACGCTATTCGAGAAGCTGAAACCTGGTCCGAGACAACAATCAGCATGTCGTTCGAAGCGCAAACTAGCTGATCACAAGCTCAAAGAAAAGGAAGAATCTACGCGCAATGTCAGTAGATTCTGTACTGACTGCTATGCGAAGGGAAGGGCACAACAGTCAAGAGAAGCGAGCTATGCGGCAGCAAAGAAAGTAAAAACCTTCTGTTCTGATTGTGATAAATTTTTTTGTCTTGATTGTTTTAACAAGAAGCATCATACTATGGGATAAAGGACTCAAAAACAAGTACTGAAGGCAGAACAGATGACACATTATGTTTAACCTCCTGCCTAAGGAAAAAGCAAAAGAAAGTGCCTTTTTTTATATAGTTTCTCGTTAAAATATAGCATGACTCACCGGTGGGTCACATCGTGGAGAGTGTGTTAATAAAACTAAATAAAAATATTAATCAACTGACATAGCACCAGCAACAACACGTGAATAACCATGTTTACCATTAGCAAAATGATCAGAACCAATATGTTGACCTTTAATTGCTTCATTAAAATGTTCTTTGCGATTTTCGTTAACAATTCTTAATGGATAATTATTTGTTTCACAAAAATAGTATGGTCTAACGAAAACAAAAAAACATTAATATAATATTATTTAAATTGAAGATATTTTAATTTTACTTTTGTATTTGATAAATAGTTATTGGTTGAACAACAAGACGTGCTTTCGATGCAAAAGTTTCTTGAGCATGATCATAACATGTTCGTAAACGAAAATCTAGATCATTTTTTGGAGAATCAATATCATTATAATAACAAGAATGACGATAGCTTGAATCAGTTGGTATTCGAGAGAGACGATACCAAACTGATGAATTCATTAAAAGAGATTTCTTATCAAACTATGATATGAAATAGAAATATTTTTAGTATCTAATAATTACATATAGAAATACGTTACTAAATTATGGCATTGCTCGTTAAAAGATTGATTTTGATATGAATGATAATTATTGATTTGAGATCGATCGAACATTGAATAGTTATTGCAGATATTAATTGAATTAGAAACTTGTATGGGTGGTAAATTGATATTGCTCATAATTAAATAATAGCATATAGGCTAAAATTGTTGCTGAGCAACAGTTATCTTATTTCGTATTTAAAATATACATAATCAATAATATTATCTGTTCATTAAAGAATATCAAAGATGATAGAGATCGATTAAAGTGGAATGGAAGAAAAATGTAATCGACGATGAAGTTTTTACTAATCGGAAACTCAACTCGAATTCAATCTCATTTTGTTTTAAAGAATACAAAGTATAAAATGGTAATGAATTACACTTTTTTCAGGATTATAGAAAAAGCTAAAAAAGAACCAAAATTCACTGTAATCTCATCATAGATTATACAAATAACGATTCATCATTATTCAATTATTTTTCTTGATGTGTTATGTCTTTTATTTATAAATAGAAAAAGAGTAAAAGAAAAATTAAATTCGAATTTTTCGTGCAATTAAATAAGCTTTTTGCATTTTTTGTACAAGATTTTTATCACCAATTAATTGTGCAAATTTATATAAAGCATCAGAATTAGCTAATGAACCACGTTTTTGTTTCCAAATATTTAATAATATTTCAATTTTATTTTCACGTTTTAAATTAGAATAATTATCATGAAAATTATTCATGTCATTTTTAGATAATTTAAAACGTTTTAATAAATTTTCAATATCATAACTTGTTAAATTTTCAATAAAAATTTGTTGATAAATTTCAAATAATTTTTCTTCATATTTATCATTAATTTGAACATAAAGATTTGATGTTGCTGAAATATATTTATCATCTATAAAATCATTTGGTGGTGCTAAACATAATGGATTTTCATTGATATTAACTGTTTCTAATTGATAAAGTGTCGATGGAAATGATGTAAAATTATTTCCATTTAATTTTATTGTTTTAAAATTTTTTAATTGTTTTAAACGATTATTATCTATACTTGTAAGAAGATTATAATTCATATTTAAATATTCAAGTTTAGTTAAATTATAAATCATTTCTGGTATTTCATTAAATATATTATGAGATAAATCAAGTTTTTTAAGATTATATAAATGAATAAAATCATCAGGTAATTTATTAATATGAATACCATGTTCTTGAGAATAGATAAATGTTGTAAGTTGTTCAAGTAAAACTAATGTATCAGGAAATTTCAAAAATTGATTATTAGATAAATCAATAGTTTGTAGATTTATCATATGAACAATTTCTTCAGGAATAGATTCTATTGTATTATCACTCATATACAATTCCAAAAGAGTTTCAGCTAAAATTATATACAAGAAAAATAGTATTCGGAATTGAAGATGATGAAATTGAGATTTTACTCTTCATAGAAAAACTTACTAATTAAAAATACTAATCATCATATTTTTTTTGCCGGACATCATTAGATAAGAAGAACGATATTTTAGAAAACATGTTGTATCGCTAGCTTTCACCAGAGTATATATAAATATACATTTTTTGAGAATGTACTCAGGGTTTTGATGCTTTTATTAGAACGGAGGAAGATAAAAGAAACCAAAAATGTTTCACATTCTAAACAGTGTCCAGCATCTGTAAAAAAAAAGTTTCTGACTGTATCAACTAGACTAGTTTCTTCCACATTTTACGTCGCATCTGTCAAAATTCAAGTTATTACTGGAAAGCTGTCGGCCAAATTTTAGAAGGCAACTTTTCTCAGTCATTTTCTGACAAATCGGATATCGGTCAAATTCTTAGCTCTTTCGATTTCTAATGATTATCGAGAATCCTGGAATGGAGGATATGGAACTGAGGATGCGCACTTCTATGGATCCGAATCTGGTTAGCACCAATATCTGGCAGCTGCTGGGCACATGAACAAGTGAAAGACCAAAGTTTAGAGTACTTATAGTATATAAACTATGACAACATATAATTATTTCTTGTTCTTCAGTTTCGCATCACTTGATGCTTACTAAAGTAAAAATTTTTCGCACAGTTGAAAAGAGCATTATATAAAAAAAAACATGAAATTGAACAGTGTATATAAAGTTATGCTAAATTTAATTAAGCAGGAAATAAAAGCTGCATATGATCAATTTATAGTATTTGACGTGTTGAGCATTCAAACTAATTAATGATGACGATCTCAAACATTAAACTCATATTTCATGTATTTAACAAATTCGATTAATGAAACATTTGCAAATATGAAGAATATCAAAAGAGAAATACTTACCAATATATTTTTGATTATTATTATTAATATTTGACATTTCATATAACCAAGATGGAAATTTGGTAAATTTATTTTTATTTAATTTTAATATTTTTAAACATGTTAATAATTTAAAATCATGATCAAGTTCATATAAATGATTGAAACTTAAATCTAAATATGTTAATGCTTTTAAACAAGTTAATTCATGTAAATTTGTATGTAAATTATTATTTGATAAATTAAGAATATTCAATGTACGATAAAAAAATTTTTCAAATAAATTTTTTGTTGTTAAATATTGAAATTTTGAATGATTAATTATTAATTTATTTAATGAACGTAATTCTAAAATAATATCAGGAAATTTTATAAATTGATTAAATGATATATTTAATGATTCTAAATGTAAACATTGTATAAATTCATTTGGTATTTGTTTTATTTGATTATGATCTAAATCTAATTCAATAATATTTTTTAAATAAATACAATCATTAGAATTAAGTTCAATATTATTATGTGATAGACATAAAATTTTTAAATTTGAATTTAAACATTCAGGAATATTAATTAAAGAATTATAACTTAAATCAAGTATATTTAATAATTTCATATTTGATAATAAAGAAAATATATTTGTAAATTCATTATGTTGAAAATTTAATTCTTCTAAATAATCAAATTGTTTTATTGATGATAATGAAAGAAAATCATTTTTAAGATTATTTTTTGATAAATTAAGTTTTTTTAATTTTAAAAATTGATTAAATATATCAAATGTTATATTATTCATTTGATTTAATTGTATATTTGAAAAAGAAATATCTTCTAAATTAAAACAAGTATATAATAATATAGGAAATATTTTTAATGGATTTGAATTTATTGAAAATAATTTTAAATTTGAAAAATTTTTTATTATATCAATTGATTCAAAATAATTATTTGATAAATTTAATTTTTCTAATTGAATTAAACGAGTAAATGTTGTTGGTAAAAATTTTAAATAATTATGATCAAGTATTAATGTATTTAATTGTTCAAGATAACCAATATTATATGGTAATTCTGTAAGATAATTATGTGATAAATTAAGTGTATGTAGAAAACGAAGATAATGAATATTTTTTGGAAGATATTTAATATGATTAAAAGATAAATTGATATATTTAAGAAATGGATGAATCAATGGACGAGATATTTGTTTAGTTGATAAAGGTGTTGATGGCTAAAATAAAATAGACTTCTTTTTTGTTAGTCTATTGAGTCATAGAAAATCTTGTATATTTTTGTGAAATACAATTTTTAACAGCAGTTTTTAAAGTATAGGAATGAAAATTCGGAGCCATTCTGGTACAGTATGCATCTACATAAACATTTGTTTAACGATGAAAAATCGCACTTTTATGATTTAAATATAGGAGAATATACTTCGAAATATAGTCTACATAATGGTGTAAATAATTTTATTATGACCCTTAGAGAAACTAGTTGCCCAAAATTTAGTCTGAAAAATTCATATCTGACGAAAGGAAACTGTTCAACAAACAAAATGAGAGTATATTTTCTGAATCTTCCAGCAGGGTGCTGTACAATGGTAAAAAATATTGTTTATTTTGCACATTTTACTCTCATCTATTATCGCTAATTTATGTTAGCGGAAACATGCCTAGACCGCAAAATAAGTTTCCAAAAAAATCTAGATTTTTCAAGCTTTGGAAAAAAACTTAATCGACAAGAATAGTGTATTCGAAATCAGCCCATAGAACAATTTTGAAGAAAACCATATTTTCGAAAATCTAAGGGCAAAAGTATCTGGTACTCAGCAAGAAAATCACATGTACGTCAGGCATGCGAAAAATGCATACTTTATGTGCTTTGTTCACATAAACCGTGACAAACGTTGTCTATGTACGATTACAGAACGTATATCAATAACGACTCGTTTTAATTTATGAACTGCTTTCTTATTCTATGTCTGGAGGATTAAAAATTGTAATGAGGAATTACGTCCCAAAATAGATAGAATCAAGTAAGCTTCTTGTCATTAACAAGAGTAGGTACATCGTATGTCACATTTTAATTCCATAGAGATTGCAATAATAACTTTTTTTTTCCTAGAAAATTATAATTCTGTATTAGCAGCCGATGAGAATCTTAATGAGGTTTCATTAATTGTAGAATGATATTTTTATGCTCTGCTTCTTAAAAGGAAATAATTTGTAGATTTTCAACTTAGTCAATTATCAAAAGAATATCATAACTATCTTTAAAACGTTTGTCTCCTTAGAAAATTTTCTAAACACCATTTTTGTGCTTCGAATTATTATAGACTATTCGAAGTGATTCATCACTTATGAGATATTATTTTTGGCATGTAGAGGGAAGTTTTCTGCTAAAAGATTTGCAAAAGGATTTAGAATTGATAGGCCTTCTCTATGCCACTACGATAATTTTGCTGTATTTTACTATAGGAAGTGATGTCAGAAAGAAAAAGGAAGAAAATGGTTTTGACTTGATATTGTATCTCTAAGTATGATACTCAGATTATCATTAAATGGTCAGTCGATATGATTATTTCGTTCTACAAATATTCAATATTCAAAAATTGGATGACTTTGAATATTAAATATTTTAAGATAGAAGCATTCGTGTTGACTAAGGCTTTCAAGATATTTTTAGAATTAAGAGTTTAAAACTTCTTTGTTTAATCTTCCTACCGATAGCCTTCCTATGGTAAAAATACAGCCAGATTATCATGATTTTTGTACAAAAGTCTAATAGCTCTTAATCGTTTTGGAGTTACTCTTATCGAGAGATTCTCTTTGAATGCCGATAATCTGAGCTTATAAGTGATTAATCACTCCAAGAAGTTCTCTTGTTCGAGTTAAGTCTCTAAGAAATCTTTATCGTTGGACCAGTTTAAACTCTCCTCATAGCATTATTTGATTTGTATTAAAGTTCAGTTTATCAGATCATAGAAAAATAGTTATCCTTTAGATAGTGTAAAAAGTTTTTTTTTTTTATTATACTAAAAATTAAAATGATCTATTATTTTATTTTGGTAATAGCAATGCAATTTTTTTCTCTCATTTCTATTTGCATATGTGATAATTATGCTTATAAATTGTTTTTAAGTTCATCAGAAGAATAATCAATTTCTTACAGTTTTAATCGAATTGATATGTTTGTCACAGGAAGAAATGTAATACTACGATAATCATGTTTTGAGATTTATAACGTTAATAAAATTACCCAGACTAACATATAATCCTTTAGATCAATAGTGTAGAAGCAAAACGTGTCAGATTGAATGAAGCTAACATGATTGACTGAGCACGTTGTTCGACACGTATTGAATGAGTAGTGTGTTTAAGCCTCTCTACTACCAGCCATGGAATGATATTGGACAAGCTCACTACTTGCTGTTTATCTCGCGTTATCCGCTCTGTAGCATGCGGACTATGTTGTGACATAAACCTGCTCTCATGGCTAGTATTTGGTTATTCAATGTGGCAGGGAGAACTCAAGAATTCTGCATCAGACCGATCTTGTGTCTAGAGCTACAGCTATTGATAGTTCTAGGAAAGATACTGAACTACTAGATCTACTACTAGGCAACCGAAAGACAGAGTTGTTCTTAATAATAATATGCCAAAGTGTTTACTTTCGAATGTTTGCCATAGTTTGTATTTTTAGTTGATAAAACTTTGGTTTGTTCATTATTATCTGTCTTTTCATTTTTTCGAGAAGTGTCTTCTATAAAACTATAGACCTTGTCTAATGATTGATTATTTGAATTGATTTTTAATTGTTCATTCCAATAAGATTCAGTTAATTCATTATCATTCAATGGTTGATATAAAATAAAATCTGTATTATGTAATTCATTATGACTAACATTTAATTCAATAAGATTTATATAATTAGAAACAAATGTAGGCATCTGTATTAAATAATTATGAGTAAGTGAAATACCATCAATTAATTCATTATTAGGAATATCATTAATAATATAAGGTTGTCTTAAACATCGATCAAGATTAAGAAACTTGATTTCATGACCATCATTTTGATGAACAGATAAATAATCATTGAATTGAAGAATATGATCAGTAGAATTCATTTGTTGTTTATTAGTTTCGAATGTATTGACAATCGTCATAGTATGTGTTTCCATTTGTTTTGTTATTCGAATGTTTCAACAATTCATATGTGTTATTTTATTATTCAATCAACAGTAAAATTCAATTCTTTTTTTTTTTTCTTTTCTTATATGTAAAAAATTGAAGAAACCTTATCGACTTTGGCGCATTGATTTATTTCTTCATTAAATTTGGTCAAATTCAAGGAGAAATCTGACGGATGAAATCAATTGTTATTGATGAACTTTTTTTTTTCTTCATTTTTAAGAAAGTAAAAAAAAAAAAAATCTTATTGCCAAAGAGTTTCGAATAGGCTACAGAAAAAAAAAACAGAAATCTATTCATTATCATTTCATAGTTTGAGCAATTTTGAAAAATTTCTGTATATAAATAGATTTCATATTTTAGTAAATAAGTTCTTATTTGTGGGATAAAACATGAAGAGTGGAAATTGCAGTGAAATTTAAGTTTTGATTTCAAGGAATTTATTGAAAAATTTCGATGTATGCAATAATAAAATAAAGAATTTTTTTCAAGGTACGTCTCAATTTTAAATGAAAAATAAATCTATGAAGTCCACTTCATACTTTTAAAAATATTTCGAAACACTTGATGAATTCGTAACGTTTAGTAATAGCGGATTTATTTGCATCAATATATAAAGATTTTAAAAAAAAAAGTGTAAAATTCATTTTAAATATTTTACAAAAAAAAAAGCTAATTATATTGTTTATCAGAAACAATCTGAAACATCTTTGAAATCGATACAACTGATCTCAATAATTGCTCTGAGGAAACAGTATTTTCATGTCATCAAGTACAAATAACAACAACTTTTATGGTTCAAATTATAATTATAAAATGTCTTAAAATAATTTTTACACGATTTGAATTTGTTCTTAGTTCAATATTTGTTATACTTAAACAAAATATCCTACTATAGAATTCTATAACTTCATCGTAATCAATTAGATTTAACTACTTCTATTACAACAAAGCATATCCATGACGTAAAACTAAAGACGATAATTTTAAGTTTATGTTGATGTAAAATATCCTCAAATAACATATAAAGCATTTCTTTTATGTTCAAAGAGATTTAACACGTGTGTCGATTTCGTTTTGTATTTCAAACTTAATCAAAGACCTTTTCATATTCTATTTTCTTTTTTTTGTTCTTTCTCTCTTATGACATACAACACCTTTATGAAATACGACCAACGAGAGATGTTATGATTGAAGGAAGAGCGATGGTAATTGAATAAATCGGCACTAGTTCTTCTTATAATAGTGCTGCAAAATAAAATAATAAATCATTTCATTTGCTTGTTATGCAGTTGTTTTTTGTTTTGTGTATATTGCTTGCTTGTCAAGTAAATAGCGAAAATATTCATGAAGAACTATTATTCAATAGGACTGATACGTAAGTTAATTTTTCTTTTGAAAATATATTATGTCATATTTTTTCGTATTCATATTTAGAACATCATTCATACAAGAAGAAGATTTAGAATTAACAACTCCGTTTTTTCTTAATTTTAATTTAACTAATGATACAACAGATAATTTTATTCCTGATATTGATGTATCACAACCAGTTAAACGTGTTTTACGTGAAATATTTCGTACATATGAACCATATTGTTGGCGTCATTCATATGGTCGTGGTGTTGGTCGTCCTTTGCATACTTGTCCTGATTATGCACCTGAACAAGATGGTCTTCTTTGTTATCCAACATGTCGTGATGGTTATAATGGTGTTGGTCCTGTTTGTTGGGAGAAATGTAATAATTTAACATCAATTGGTTTTGCTTGTATGGATATTCGTAATTCATTACGTTCATGTCCTTGGTATGATAAATGTGGTATATTTACACGTTCATGTTCATCTTGTCCAACAAATTATACAAATCTTGGATGTTTATGTGGACAATTTTATTTTCGTGATAGTTATGGTCGAGGTGTTGGTACACCACTAATATGTTCAAGTTCTTATGAACAAGATGGTGGTTTATGTTATGATAAATGTAAAAAACAATATAATGGTGTTGGTCCTGTTTGTTGGCAATATTGTCCTAAAACTCAACCAGTTCCTTGTTTAGCTGGTTGTTCAATAACAAAACAAGATTGTAAACAAGCTATTATTAATATGATTCAATCAGTAGTTGGTGCATCAGTAACAATTTTAAATGTTCTTGTTGGTATACCATTAGTTGATTTAACAACATTTGATATACTTGCTAATGCTGCTAAAGGTGATTGGGTATTAGTTGCAAAAGATATGTCAAATTTAGCAAAACGATTAGCTGATAAACTTTTACCAGATTTAGCAAAGACATTTATTAATTGGTCATTAAGAACACTTGAATCAGCAACAAAAAATGCAAGTGTTACTATAACAGCAACTGCTTTTAAAGATAAAAAATCATTATTACCGTTTTTACAACGTTTTCGTTTAGATACAATTAATTCAGCTTTTAATCATGGAAAATGTGATCTACGTAATGATATCTTTAATTATTAAGAATATTTTGTTTGTTTTATGTAATTAACCAAAAACAAAAACAAAGAAGCTGTTTTTTTTTTCCTTTCGCTTATTCAAGCAGAAGATAAATAAAAATTTCTTGTCTTTTTATTCTTTTTAAGCTGTCATAATTTCTTTCAAGGTTTTTACACGATATCAATCTTTTATTCTCGTATGATTTATAATCATGCAATCTTTTCGACAAGCATTACACATTCAATTTCACAGTATCAATCATGTTACAGTAAAACCTATCAGCAGAACCTTCACACGTTCTTTATTATTCATTGAAAATCAACGGTTATTCTGATCTTTTCTTTTCTTTTTCTTTTTTTTTTACATATAGTAATATGACGATTTGATCGTGAGAAAATGAGTTTTGACGGAATTTGAATTCGATGCTCATAGTTTATGTTGGTGTCATCATATTGCATTTGTACTTATGGTATAAGTAACCAAAGAAATTTTTGTATTAAACATTGTCTCAATCAAAAACAGACGATTTCTGTCATGAATGTAAAAGAAAAAAGACACTTTCAGTGAAATTGTTCTTAATAATTATTAATTTTGTTAAATTCTTTTACGGAAGGCATCTAGCAATATACATAGAAAGAAACAGACGTTTTAATTTTGCAAATGAACCACTGTTTCATTCAGTTTTCATTAATAGAAACACATCACGTACTGATTACTCAGGTTAATTGCGTCTATTCAAAAAGATATTGAATCGCTGCTAATTAAATAAAGAATTTCTTTACACTTGTTATAGTTACTAATGGAATTTCACAAAATTTTTATTTTAAGAATTAGTCGATAATTTATCATCGAGCAAAAGAATTTCATTAGCTACATTCTATTAATAAAGAGATGTATGACTGCTTGATTGAATCTAATATTATTTATGAAGAACATTTTTATTCATATATTTTATATAGATTATTATTTCCTACACCAAGTGAAATTCTAAACTTACAAGTTCTTCTCTTTTATTCATTTGTACGCAAAATGGTCAGAGCTATTTTTATTTCTGTCATTTAGTACATTGAATAAGCTTCAAATCATTAATCTTATGCCAATGTCGAAATGTTTTTATATTTGGAAGTGATTATTTAAATTAGATCAATCGATGACATTTGCTTTGAAATACTTTATTCAATATACTTTGCCTTTTATCACAAACATTGCAAAATAGAAAAATTATGTTTTTTTAAATTGGAAAATCTTTTTTTCTGGTTGTATTTCTTAGTGACAGAAAAAAACTATAAAGTAAATATGCTTAAAAGTATTGATCAAATTAGATCTTAAATTTATAAATATCAATGTTTCTAATCTTCTTTATTTATTGTCGAACTTGTTTAAGTACAATCAAAAACAAATGACAGTGATTAAAATCCAGATATAGATATCTAACGTCTATCAATATGAGAAAATATAAGATGTCTTCTTTTTTGAAAAGTATTATCTATTATTAGAATAATTTATGAGTTATTTTTTTTATTCTATTTAAATCATCTTTTGATTATCCATGTAAAAATAATGGTTGATTATTTAGATTCAAAAATTTATTATGACAAAAAGATCAGTTTTTTTGATGTACTCGATGTTCTTCTTTAGATTGCTATTAATTTGTCGATTATTTATTTCTTTTTTTTGAAAGTATTATATTATGTTTATTTGATACCTTATAATCCATGAATTTATCTGTTTTTCTCTTTAATATGTCAAAGAAATAATCTTGAGTTTTTGATATAATGATGATTTTACCTACTGTTGAATTACTCATATGCATAGTTTGTTGTTAGTCATATATTTATTATTCAATAAAAAAAAAAAAATAATAATCATCAAACATTCGTAAATTTAGTTTAATATAAAAATCGATCTTACACATCTTTTTTTTTTTTTTACTACAATACAAATGATATAGAACTTTGATCTTTAAAAAAAAATATATAATATACATATAGTGTCTTTATTGTTTTAAAACATTTCATAATAAAGTGAAGGTATCATCAGGAAGATTAAATGATACAAATGTTTTCTTGTTTGATTTGTATTTTGAATAGAATTATTTGTCATGGTGCTAAAAAATTTAATCTCTAATGCCATAGCAATAGTATCGAAAATACATATTATTATTCGTAAAATGTGATGCATCATAAGACATTATGTCATCAAAATATCTTTTAAGTAATAGGAATTATGTATGATAGATTATTGATATCAGATTGATCAATGTAAATGCTTTTTCTTGTGATATAATGTACTTTAATTTCATACACCATTGCTATGTGTTTGTGAAGATGTAGCGATAGGTAAAGATTAATGGTAGATGATTGTTTGATCCGCTTGATTTTTCTTTTCTTTAATACTCGTAATCAATCACACGAAATGAGAAAAAAAAACAGAGAATAAGAAACACTGATATGCATACACACACACACACACACACACTCTTATATTGATGAAGAAAGATTTTCGATGTTTGGAGAATTTTAGGTAGGAAGAAAAAAAAATGGATTACATCCGACAAAAGAACTGTTCTACCAAACCAAAAAAATAATCAAAACATAAACATATTGCAAAGCATTAGACAAGCTATCACAAAGGACATTGACGATAATAAAGAATAAGAAAATAAGAATAACAAAAACGAAACACGACGAGAATTATTCATTTATCTGCTCGTATGCATGAAAAAATGAATGTTTTTCTTATTTTTTCGTAATGTTTTGTTTCTTTTTAAAAAGCATTGCATAAGAGTGCAAATTCGTTCTTATCTAAAAGTCCATCACCGTTTCGATCGGCCACACTAATCATTTCTTCAATATCTTGTTTAGATAATTTTTCTCCCGTTAAACGTTTCATTACTTTACGTAGTTCTTTCGGTTCAATATAACCATTTTTATCTAAATCATAACAATTAAATAATGTTTCAACATCAAGTTGCATTTTTGGTAATGGTAAAGAATTTGTTTCTTGAGAAAATGATGAATGATTAGTTGTTGTTGGTTCTTTTATTCCTGGAGTTTGTAAATTTAATTTTGATTCAAGAAAATCTACAAATTCTTCATAACTTAATGTACGTCTATTACCATTTCGATTAGCTTCAGCAAACATTTGTTTTATAAAACGTTTATCAACTGCTTTATAACCTAAATCATGCATAACTGATTTAAATTCTTTAATACTTAATTTTCCATCACGATTTTTATCAAAATAAGCAAATGCTTTTCGTACATCAAGTTGTGGTGTTGCTCGAGAATATGTTGGTATAGAATTTAAACGAATTTTATTCGATGAATGTGAATCACTATTTATTAAATGTGGAGATGTTGTTGATGATGTTGATGATGCTAATCGACTACGATTAATTAATGGTGAAGGAGAGTCAGGCATAAGTGGAAGTTCTTCAGTTGCACCATGAACAGCTGAAGCAAGTGCCGGTACAATTTGACACTTGCTAAACATATTTATATAAATTGTATAGATTTTAAATCAATTTTTTCAAGATATTTATTATTATTCAATCTAAAATCAAATGAGAATCTATTCGAATCGATCTATGCACTTGATAGAAGAGAACAATAAAAAAAAAAATAATTTTCAAATGCGAAAAAGAAACAGATACAAGAATGTTTTTTTACGTTTGATATTTTTTGTACGTGTCAATCATACCGCATATCATCAGGTTGATATAACGTAATAATAAATCGATCTCGCTGAGAAAAACATGTGAGTCTTTTTTTTTTCTTTCTTTACTAAAGGTAACAGTCGGTCAACCTAACAAATATATATGAATAAATATCCTTGAATTATATCGAAGTCTGTTTATTGACAATGGGTGAAAAACAATAAGATGAAATCTGTTTGTTTTACATAAGCAACTATTCTTATGTCACATATAATTAACGAAAACTGATACATACGTGAATCGTAAAAGTAAGAAAAAGAATCATATAACAATACATTTAGTATTGTCTCTTTTTTGAACAAAGTCCAACAATATTAATACAAGACAAATATAATAGACGTCAAAGTATTCAACCATCCGCAAAGCCGCTCTAATGACTACAGACGTTAATTTACCTTGACAAGGGGTTGAAAAATAAAGAACCGCTTATCCTACTCGTGCTCGTCTTATTACTGTTGTTTATTAGTATAATGCTTGATTGACGAGAAGAACACATTCATCTGTTTTTCTTTCTTTTTTTTCTCCTTGCACTTTCTTTCGATCATTACATAGAAATGATTACGTTTTTTTCTTCTATCATACAAATATCTATATAAGTAAAAAAAAACATAGCCTGCGAAGAAAATAAAAATAAACTTAGATTTTTTTCGCCTCATTAAACCAGAACCTACAGTATAAATGTCGCAAAGGCCATTTAATCTAGTATATAATACCTGATAGTCATGAATGATCCAGGGGGGGGATAAACATGAAAACGAAGGACAAAAAAATAACGATGAATACATAAGCGAATGACCGATGAAAAAAACGACGACGACGACGACGAAAGAAAGAAAGAAAGAAAGCAAGACAATACGACGTGTGGTTCAAGACAAGCACAGCAGTTGACGTCATTGTTTTTCTCTTCCATTCTTTTTTTTTGCTTCTGTCTAGTTCACTATTGCCTTCGTAACAGCAATACGAAAACAAATGGTTATACTGTATTTAGAAATGAATATACAAAAATGATAACTGACTAATTGTAATAAAAAAAATGATTAACACTACTTCGAAGAATGATTTTTTTTATTTCGTATTACTCATTGAAATCAAAGTCTATGATGCGAAAAACCTTATCTTAATAGTTATAAATTGTGTTATTCGTTTTCTTTTTTTGTCTCTGTCTTATGTAAAATACTATTTTGATACAAACAAGATGAAAAGAAAAATATTCTGCGTAAAAATAAAATGTCTATACACAGAGTCTGCCCCTGGGTAAAATTAAACAGGAAAACCTTAATAGATATTTTCAAGGACAAATCAATTTGTTACCAAGTAAAGATACTTGAATTGATTGATTGATTAATTGATCGTATTATTTCTTACTTGAACTTACCTTAAAATCGTGTGACGTCAATCAAACAAGGTGTTTGTGCATATGTCATTTGTTGCATCTTTTTTTTCTGCTTTTTATCAATGCATGCGAATTACAGTTGTAATGTTAATAAATGTATACATATGATGAAATGAAATGAAATTTCTTCCGTCATGTATACACATACTTACCATTAACTGCGGAATCATTTTTTTTCTTCTTCCTTCTGCTTTTATTTTCTCTTCGTTGATTTTGACAAATAGTGAAGGAGTATTTTTAAAGATTTTCTTTACGAACGTAACGTTTACTCTTCTTGTTTTTCTATTGTATAATTTAATTGTTTTTTTCTAATATAAACTTTCTTGTTGAAATGTATCACGTTTATAAAAGATTTCAGATATCTTGAGGTAAAATGAAATGCATTTGTTTCTGATGCTTACCTTCTTTCCAAGTACAATTTGTGTCTTTGCTCTCTCCTACCTTGTTAATATATAGTTCGAACTCTAATCATCCGTTTACTTCATATGTGGTTGTATGTCTACAGCTGTTCTTATTGCGGTATATGAAGAGGAGAAAGCAGAGCAATTAAACGATGAAGAAAAAAAAAGTCCGAGGACAACAATAGCATGCACGGGTTTCACATACACGCATACACACAAAAAAAAAAGAGAAACAACAATGATTCTTTACTATCGCGTCTTTTTTTGTGCATTTCAAAAGCGTCCTCAGAGCGGATGACACGCGAACAAGGCAAAGAATAATGAGAAGAAAAAAAACGTGATAGGATTGAAGAACGTCAACAGTGAAAGATAATTCAATCTCTTGACATTGACCTATAACGACTAAATATGAAATGGTTGGAATTATTTTTTTTTTTTATCTTCCATATTTTCGACATAACAGAAAAAAATTAAACCTCTCGAATAAATTCTGTTTTTTTCTTACTTATATTTCTTGTAATAGAATCCTAAAGAGCACTTGGCATTTTCGAGGCCTAGATAACTATCTTCTCGGACACGTTACCGGAAATAAAAAGAGTAACAACAGTAAGTAGAATATAAGCGGCACTATCGATCGATTGATTACTCTCGTTCAATTTTCACTCTTAACTATATACTTTGCCGATCGTTCAATTGCCCGTCGGCAAGTAGCTCAAGAATCAGTTCCATTATACATGTATACATGAGAGGAAAACTTTTTTTTCACTTCAAATTGATGATTGCTTTTGAGAATTTTTCTTTAGCTCGACCACAATGTCAAATAGAAGCATACTGATGATGAGTTGGTGTAGTTAAGGACGGAAATAGAAAATAAGAAAACAATTTTCTACTACTCAAGTATTCATCGTTTGCATGATAAATCTCTCCTTACTAATCAAGACTATAGGATAGCAAAAATATGATTGAAAAAAAAAATGCGCATATACACAAAAGCTAAATGCAATCTGATCATACCAAGAGGAAATACTAAGATTGAATAAATCGTCTGACATCATTAGAGAAATATCTATAGAAAAGCTTAAAACGGAAATAATGATGATCTGTTTTATGTATATTCAATATCTTCGCTAATTCGGCCATACTAAATTCCTTTATCTTTTTCTGAAAGATAATAGTCTCACATATATAAATAGATATATCAGTATAAGAATTTTTCCTTGGCTAAGATAGATGGATGAGAAGTTGCAGAAACATGGAGAAAAAAAAAAAATTTTTTTTATCAATAGATAACTTACGTAATAGTAGTGAAATGATTGTTGACATTGACTAACAGTAAAGTCGACACATATTGACGTCATACATAATTCCTCTTTCTTCCGTTTGTTGATCATGTAAGCTATCGACGTCATGATGAACCTTGACAATATTTTCTTCACATTTCTATCAGCTGTTTTTCTCTATCTTGACTTTTCTCATCTATATATATATAAAACTGAATACTTAACATAAAAGTTATTCATTAATATTGACAATAAGAGATAATCTAGATAATCAAAATTGAAAGATAATTACTATGACAACGAACCAAATTTTCGTTGTTTATCAAAACTTTGTCAAACATTTAACACTTTGTCATATTATAAACCAAAATATTGTTTTAACCCATTTGCTCGAACAATTTCATTTGTTTGTTTGCTTGCTTGCTTGCTTGCATTCGCTTCATTAATTATTACAAGGAAATTCTAACTGACAGCCGAAGAATGATCAGAAAGAAAAGAACTTAGTCTATACCGATTGTTTCTTCATTATATAAATAGGATTTTAACAAAAAAAAAAAGAAAAAAAAAGTTTGTCAATAACCGATAAGAGAAAAAAAAGTACCGACATGTTTAATTATAATAAGACTCAATCATTTCTTTCTTTTCTTTTTGCTATCTGAATATATATATATATCGATGGAAAAGAGTTAGCAGAATATCAATATATCTAGTTCTCTACACTTGATTAACAATAAAAAAAAACCAACGGGTAGTGCTTGTCACTTGTGTTTTGATAATGAAGGTGATGGAAAGGGCAAATAGCGCTACGTTGTAAATGACATCTTATTCTTGTTCGCAATTTTTTTTCTCTCTTCTCTCATTCTCTCTGTTTCTTTTTTTTTTTTAACATAGACAACAACATCATTGAGAAATCAATTTATGATAGTCAACAAAACTCAAGAACAAAAGATTTACCGGATTTTTCTTATTCTTTTTCTATTTTCATTTTTTAATCGTATTTAATATTTGTTTATGAAGTAACAAAAGAGAAAAAAACAAATAAATATTTATGTAATCGACTTGTCACAGAAGGACGTAAGATAAGAATATCTAGAAATAGATTATCGTATCTCGCTTTTACTTACTAAAAATTAAGAGAATATAAATGGATATTATTAACATTCATCATAACATAAAAGATACGACGAAGAATCTCTGTCAAAAACAAAAATTTTCATGTCGTAATATGATCTTGATCAAGTATTTCTGATGATTATAAGAATCGAATAACTTCTTACTTGAGAAAACAACAAAAAAAAAAAAAA